ATAAATATAAAATGAAAGTAGATATAAATGATAATAATATAAAAGATGAATAAGATGAATATTCAAATAATCTAATACAACTAAATATAAAAGAATAACAAGAAGAAAATCTAAATAATATAAACATAAAAAACATAAAATAAGAATAATATAATAATATATAGATAATAAGAAGAATACAATGATATAAATAATATAAACAGAGAAATAAATATAAAAATACGATAGATAAATAACATATAAATAAAAGAATAAAAAGAATAAAAATAATTAAATATGATTCATCAAATCATCTACTTCATTAATATTTCATACAAAATGAATAGAAATGATCATAAAATATAAACATAAATATTTATATATTCTGTATTTATCATACTTTTTATTTTTTTATTTTTTTTAGGAGCAAAATATAATAAATGGAAAATTCTAATTATGCAAATTTTTTTGCATCTTTTTTCTTTTTTGTAAATTATTTAGATGCATTTTTTCTTTGCTAATTTTCGTACCCTTTTCAATAAGGATTGTCTAGTTGAAGATTAAATAATAATACTACTTAATAAGAAATATGTATTAGAAAAAGTAAATTAGATTAAATAAAAATGAATAACAAGATGGATTATTATTGTTAGTTGTTCTTGAACCTCTTTTTAAATACCTTTGAATATAATGTACTGTAACTTTAGAATATTATTGTTATGTAATCTAACCAACATAGCCATTATTTTGTGTTATTTAAAATAAAAAAAACATGCTTTAATTAGAAGAAGAAAATTGTAATTATAAGAGAGAGAATAACAAATACATTGGATGTAGCATCAAAATTGTTGTTTTTATTAGAGCCATCCTCTGAATTACTTTCTGAACTACTTGATGTTTTGTCTTCAGTTTGGCTTCCATCACTTTCCTTATTTCCATCTTTTCCTTTGTCTCCAATATGTTCTTTACTTTCATCTTTTCCAGCTTGTGGTTTCTCTCCACCTTTTCCTGTATCTTCTTCATTTTTATCTGTGATGTTATTTTCGTTCTTTTCACCTTCTCCTTTACTATCTTCACCATTTCCAGGTTGTTCTTTGCTACTATCTTTTCCAGCAGTTCCATTATCTCCTTTGTCTTTCTTACTTCCGCTTTGGTCAGTTTGTTCATCTTTTCCATTATGTTGTGTATTTTCTGAATTACCACCACTTGTCCCTTTATCTCCTCCTGCTTGGGTACTTCCTGAACCATTACTGGCTGTTCCTTTACTTCCTTGATCTTCATTTGGTCCATTGTCAGTTGTTTGACTCTTTCCTGATCCTTTAGCTTCTGTGTCTCCAGCACTTTTTTCATCAGACCCTGTTGCACTAGTACTTGGAACATTACTTGCTCCACCATTTCCTTTTTCTCCTGATCCACTAGTTGCACTAGTTTCTTTTGCAACAACTTTTTCTTCTTCACTCTTTTCTTTATGCTCTACACTTATTCCATCTGTTCCACTACTTACTGAACCTGCTCCACCACTTCCAGGCTGTGTATTTCCTCCATTTTCTTTAGTTGTTTCCTTGTTTTCTAGTTTACTACCTCCTCCACTTACTGATGTTTCTGTATTTTTCTTTGTAGTTTCTGTGTTACCATTTCCTTCCTTTTGTTGTCCTTGTTGGGTTGAAGCCTCTTCACTAATGTGACTTTTTGATTCTTTTTGAGATGCTGGTTCTGTTGTTGATACTTCTGCTTTAGTCTTTAAATGAACGTGATAAGTATTATACATTCGTTTAGTTTTACTTGAGTATATTTTATACATTCTAACTTCTTGCTCCTCTTTATAGACAACACCATTCTTATATTGATTATTTTTTGTTGAAAGAATATTTTTATTAATTACAATAACTGCATCATTGTCTTGTTGCTCTTCTTCTTTAAAACATTTACTATCACTATAATATTTAATACAATATCTTTTATTATTGTCTATTTCTTTATTATATATTTTAAGACTTTTTCCTTTTTTATATTCAATACATTTAGCTTTATTAATATTACTTGGAATTAGATCTGATGTAATTATGAGACTTTTACATTTATTATCATTATTAATTCCATGTTCCATACATAAAACAATATCAGTTGCATTTGTAATTACAATAAATAAGATAAACTTAATCATTGAATGTTTTGTATTTCAGTTTTTCTTTAAATATATTTTATTCTTTATTTTTATTCTATGTTAATATTGAACCATTAATATCAATACACAATTTCAAATACAACTATCAAGTCAAATCAATTTTCATTTATTTTGTCATTTCATTCTATTTTTTGTAATTCAAAAATCACATGTAAAGAAAATAATAACATATAATAAATATCAAATCAATTAAATAACAATAATGTTCATCATAAAATTTTGAAATGAATAATGAATTTCAATTCAATATTCAAATCATTGTTATTTTAAATACAATTTTTAAGTATTATTTATTTATATTTAATATTATTGTTAATCATCTTCAATATTTAATGAAGATGATCATTTAATTTTATTTTTTATCTATTCATATTTCAATATTTATGTTTTATTTTTATTGCTTCATATTATTTCTAATGAATAAAATAAATTAAGTAATGAAATACTCTATTTCTTTAAGAATAAAATCATATTTTATGATTCTCAAATAAATTTTAATTGAATTTTTATATAATTGATATTGAGGAGAAATAATATTGCAACGAAACAATCATCAAGAGTCTATCAATACGAATAAACAATAAAAACACATTCTTATAATTTGATGATTAAAAATGTTATATCCTGATATTATAATTAACTATCTATTATACTCAGTTTTATTCTTCAATAATCACATATAATCATTATTTTAATCGTTCTAAACATTATTTTATGATTTTCCTATATTTAAATTTGATTTTACATGCAATTATTATTAACAAATAATATATTCGTTCAATATCAATTATACTATAACATCTATAGTTTTTATAATCAATAGTTATTAATTATTTCACTTAATTAGAATATTTTGATGTTATTATGAATTATTATATTTTATAATAAAATTACGTTTATTTAGAGAATCACTTGACTATAAATTACTTTTATTCATGAATAAAATCATGTAAATAAGTCAAGAGAATTATAAAAATATATCAATTAAAACAAATAACTTTATAATGGAATAAAAGGAAATGATAATATAAGAAGTTAATTACATATTATATGTTGATTTTTTATTATTCATTGTTATATAGTTAATAATATATTGTCTATTTTTTTAATGTATCGACTGAATATGTTTGGTTATGACAGAAACAAAAATTATATAAATATCTTTTATCTTTTTAATTTCAAAGTTTTTAAATTCTTTAACGTTCATTCATCGTTTATTTCATTCATTAATTTACTGCTTTATTTATTTTCCACCTCATTGGTTGAAATTAATGCTACAATAACTTATCATATTTTATTTATACTTGTTTCTTTTATTTAAATAATTTTTATTCTATTTAACTAATTAATTATAAGTAGTTCATTTCTTTTATTATTATTATTCATATTGTTTTTATTATATCTTCTTTCTTTATATTTATTTTTCTTATTTTTTATTTCGGTATTTTTTATTGTTGTGGTTTCTTTCGTTTTTATATTCAATTTTGTTTATTTTATCACCAATGTAGTTTATATGTTATTAGAGTATTGTCCATTATTTAATTAATTTTGTTATTAAATTTCTTTATCATCGTACTGGTGTATCAATAATATTTATTAGTATTGTTATTTTCATTTATTAAAATGTATTTATTACTTAATTATACTTTTTATTCTAATTCATGCTTGTAAATTAATTTTTGTATATGCCGTGTTAATTGATGAATTTATAAGATTGTACTATTTCATTTATTTTCACTGATTATT